TGTTGTTTGTCAAATTGTTTGTATCCCCCCCTTCCCTTGTTTTGAGCTGTGAGCCGCCCTGAGTCCCCCTCGGGGGAAATGGGCGGCATACAAATGAAATAAACAGTTAAACAACAGTTAAAATGTCACCATGGGTCACAGGTACCCCATCACTGACCTACCTAAACGAAGGGGGGAGGGGGAAATAAAAGCAGAGGGAGATAATGCTACCTTTCAATTCTGCTGCATCATTGGACATTTCCACTTCCGTTTTTTTCCTATTCTCCTTGTGGGTGGTGTTTGGCTTGGCGTCCATGGCATCCATTTTAATGGAGCCCAGGTTCCTCAGGAGCTGCATGGCGTCAAACCTCTCCCCGCTGCCTTTGAGGCTCTCCAGAACTTTGAGGCACTTGTAGGATTTCAGCTCGCTCACGTTTTCCTCCAGAAAGAGCAGGTAGAGGCTCATGTCGTTGTAGTGTTTCGCCTTGACTTTGAGGACATCAAACGTCGGCAGAAGCTCGTAGACCTGGAGGATGTCTGAGCTCTGCCTGAGGGGGACGAAGAAGGCGTAGATCACCAGCGGCGTGATCAGCACGTACACGATGAAATTGATATAACTCAGCAGCTGGAAGACCCCGACGGCAATCATTTTGCACTGAAATCGCTCTGGGATGTTCGTGTCGTTTTTTAGTATCCCGGTTTTGACGTTGCAAATGAACTCATCAGTCAGGGAGGACAAGCTGATATAATAACCCAGGAAGAGGCAAGCAAAGAGGATGATGATCAAGGTTAGCAAACGGCAAATAATGTATTTGATGATTAAGTTCTTGGAGCCTTTCTTTGTCTTCAGATATTGTTCCACAATGGGGTACTTAAAGTGGCTGTCGGAGATCTCCCATAAACTGGAAAACACAAGGGGAAAAAGGCCAATTTCCAGGAATGTTAAATCAGGATTTCACTTGCTTTAGAAATTACTCCGTATCCAATACCTCAACATTCCCAGGGACCTGTTTTCTTCTACCTCCTGTTTCAATGTATTTTTCAACAAAATAAATTAAAGTTGGGAATAATTAGCAATTCTCCAAAATTTAGAATATAGAATAACAGAGTTGGAAGGGACATTGAAGGTCTTCTAGTCCAGCCCCCTGCTTAGGCGGGAAACCTTACACCATTTCAAACAAATGGTTATCCAATCTCTTCTTAAAAATTTCCAGTGTTGGAGCAGCCACAACTTCTGGAGGCAAGTTGTTCCACTGATTAATTGTTCTGTCAGGAAAGTTCTCCTTAGTTCTTGACTGCTTCTCTCCTTGATTAGTTTCCACCCATTGCTTCTTGTCCTGCCCTCAGGTGCTTTGGAGAATAGCTTGATTCCCTCTTCTTTGTGGCAACCCCTGAGATATTGGAAGACTGCTATCATGTCTCCCCAATTCCTTCTTTTCATTATACCCAGTTCTTGCAACCATTCTTCATATGTTTTAGCCTCCAGTCCCCTAATCATCTTTGTTGCTCTTCTCTGCACTCTTTCTAGAGTCATTTAAAACATTAAATCTTTTAAACATGATTAAAACAATACAGGTAAGCCTCAACATATGACTGTCATGGAGCCAGCCCCTTATGGTTGTGGTGCTGCCATGGTTACAAAATGGGTTGGTCATGGGACCAACCTAATTTTATGACCTTTTTGCAGTAGTCATAAAACGAATACGGCAGTTGTTTAAATGAATGAAGTGGCAGCTAAGTGAACCCACTGTCCACTATGGCATAGTTTTGCACACCACAATACAAAAAAAGATGCAGAGACTCTAGAAAGAGTGCAGAGAAGAGCAACAAAGATGATTATGGGACTGGAGGCTAAAACAAATGAAGAACGGTTGCAGGAACTGGGCATGTCTAGTTTAATGAAAAGAAGGACCAGGGGAGACATGATAGCAGAACTCCAATATTTGAGGGGCTCCTACAAATATGTGTGTGTATGTGTGTGAAACTATTTTCCAAAGCATCTGAAGGCACAAGAAGCAATGGTTGAAAACTATCCAAAGAGAGAAGCAATCCAGAACGAAGCAGAAATTTAAGATCTAAGGGTGAGAGCGATTAACCAATGGAATGTGGGTCCTCCATGACTGAAGGCTTTCAAAGAGAGACTGGACAACCATTTGTCTGAAATTATATAGGGTCTCCTGATCGAGCAGGGGGTTGGACTAGAAGACCTCGGAGGTCCCTTCCAACTCTTATTATTCTACGTTCGCTAAATAGAGATCCTGTGACGGTGGAATGCAACAAACAGCTGTACATGTTACCATTTGACTGAGTGTCCCAAAAGTCCCAAAAGTGATTGAGAGTGGGCCCAACTCCTAGAACTTCAAAATTGGGCCATAACTCCCCTGTTTCAGATAGGTCGTAACTTTGAGGACTATTGGCAATGCAAAAGAAAAGGCTCAGAAGAATGCTTCTATACTCATCAAGCTTGAGAACTATTGTATAGGTCAGGGGTACTCAAACTTTTTAAATAGCGGGCCGATTCACGGTCCCTTGGAGGGGGTTGGACCAGCTGGATGGGCATGGCCAGGTGGTCATGTGACTGGGTGGGCGTGGCCAATTTAGCAGTCCATTTTGTCTTTGTCCCTGCTGTACTTGCCCCTCCCTACTCACCCACTCACCCACTGGCCCTGGATCAAATGGCCGTAAAAAACATCCAGAAAGGCTGTTTTTAAAGTGTTTTTAAAAACTTTTAAAGCACTACTTTATAAGCTGGCAGCTGCTTTTCAAGCCAGCATCAGCCCCTTCCCTACTCACCCACCGGCCCTGGATCACGTGGCTGCACTGGCGAGATCCCCCCTCAGTCAGCTGGTCCTCCCCAGCACCCTTCGGCCTTACCTTCGGCAGCAGGGGTGGGATCAGAAGTGCAGCTCAACCGGTGAAATAACTAAGCAGAGGTGCTGCCGGAGTGGATGCTCGCTGGAAGATAAGGCTGATGGTGAGGGGCGGGGCGAGGGGCGGGGCTGAATCCTGCCACTCTGCAGCCAGACACTTTGCATTGGCCAGCCCATGGGCCAGAATTTGAGGATCCATGGTATAGGTAGTCCTCAACTTACAACTATTCATTTAGTGACTGTTCAAAATTAGCGTATTTTTCGGAGTATAAGACGCACCAAGTTTTTGAAGAGGCAAATTTTAAAAAAAAAGTTTTTGCACTCTGCACACCTCCCCAAAACGACCCGTTTTTCG